AACACTACTCGCTTTTGTCACTGCTAATTCTTTCAGTTTTGGCTTAACATGCTGCACACTTGAACAGTCATTTAGGTCATGTTTATCTCGTAATTTGTACCATGAGCATTATTTGTTGAGTTAATCTCTCATCAAACCATTTCCTGAAAACTTTTGCCCTGTGTGCTCTTGTCAGTGTGCTGATAAATGCCATCTACTGTTTTTTTTTCCTTAAGCAAATAAACATCATCTGCTTCCACCCCCAACATTCAGATCCACTCATGATCAGATTCATGCTTTTAAGGACATGTTTTTCCTACTATATGGGCAGCTGGAGTCGATTGTTGTTTGCCAGCCTCTGATTTCATTTTGTGTTGCAGCAGGCAGGATTACTGTGTGTGTCATGGTGGTTTACCCAGCTCAGTATTTGTTTGGTCTGTGTTTTCAGTGAAATGGACACACCTAAAATGTAGTATATTGTTGCCTGCCTGGTATTTACATTCAAACCAATCCACTCCCTGCTTGGCTTTCCTTTGAGAAAAAAAAAAAGAACTGGGTTTTTTTCCCCCTTTTTTTTTTTTTTTTTTGCAATTAAGCTTCCTGGAATAGACGCACAGACCTCTAAATTAATAATGCCAGGAGCGACATAAGCTCTGGGCTTCTTAATGCCAGAAATGCTGATTGTGACTGACAGTAGAGGTCAGAAAAATGGCCAGCATTGACCTCTGCCTTTCATAGTGTAATTACTGTAGTGAATGTGGGAACTGCACACCTCCTTTTTCTCTATTACCACTTTGAGTTGGTCTGAGAGTGAAACAGTTAGTCTTTTTAATTGCAAAAAGGATTTGCACTTTGCCATATTTCAGTTAATTTGACTCTCTTTAAGAATATTTGTGGCATTTAAAACATAAATAAACATGCTACACTTTGTTTGCATTGGTTGTCATTCATTGTGACACACTGCATGAGAAGAAATAATTCGATGTAGTGGCCCAAAGCCCAGTTGTTGTTCATGAATCCCCACAACACATTCTACGCCATTGTTTCTCAACCACGTTCCTGGGGGACCACAAGCACTGCATGTTTTGGATGTCTCCTTTGTCACACCTATTACAGGTCTTTCAGTCTCTGCTAATGAGCTGATGATCTGAATTAGATGTGTTTGGTTAAGGAGACATGGAACATGTTTAGGGCTGGTGGTCCTCCAGGAACATGGTTGAGAAACACTGCCATACGCCAAGCAAAGCATGCTGAAATCTATTAGAGCTTGACCGAATTATGTAAAAGTGGTCAATTTGCTCATTCTGCTATGCATTTAAAAATAGTAAAAAGTGATCATCCTAAATTTAATAATACTTTTAAATGATTAAAAACAAGCAAATTGTTGACAAAATGGCAATTAGGTAAAACGGAGTAGTTTGAAAGGTAGTGACAGACAGTATAATGGTTTAAAATGACAATAAATGGCTACTGTTGGGCTGCAATATAATTTTAATGGTTTAAATATTTAAATATGTTTACATATTTTAGTCAGTGTCATCTGTGAATCAGAGGAAATGTGAATGGCAAGCAGAAATTATTGATCATGAAAAAAAAAAACACTAAATGTGATGCATACTAATGTACAGGAAAAGCTTTTGATGCTCGTCTTTGCCCCATAAATATTAATGTAAATGCTGAGAGTCAATGAAGGCAAAAAGAGGCAAAAAATCTTTTTTAGAGTATACCAGATTTTCAAACATAAAAAAAAAGAATTTCTATTCTAAGTAATGGTTTAATTTTTTTTATTGCAACATTATTATACCTTTTTAAGCCAAATTTATATTGTATCCCAGTGACTGAAACTCACAGCAAAGTGACATAGAAGTTCTGTTTTTCCCATCCACCGAATTGATTGACAGGTGCCATGTTTCTATAATAACATGTATACACATATATATTTATAACCTTAATAAATAAAAGTTTTATAAGTTTAAAATGTTTTTAAAACAGAGCCTGTTTGTGATAAAGACAGTGAAAAAGCTAATTCATGTTTACTAAAATCACCATGGCCGCATTATGTCAGTAAACTATAATGTGTGTGTGTGTGTGTGTGTGTGTGTGTGTGTGTGTGTGTGTGTGTGTGTGTGTGTGTGTGTGTGTGTGTGTGTGTGTGTGTGTGTGTGTGTGTGTGTGTGTGTGTGTGTGTGTTCTGAAAATGGCATTTGTGTGTCACTCATAATTTCAGAAAGGCTTGAAAAAATTAGACCACAAATACACAAACACTTGGTGCTTTTGATTAATGAGCTGTATTTCAGCTTCATCTGTGTCTGTCTCTATCACTGACTGCTGTTTATCTGATGTAAGACACTTATGTAGAAACGGTGGATAAACATAAGCAGCTCATTTGCATTAAAAACCACATGCTACAATTCAGACACCATGCTGTATTCAGACACCAAATGAACAAACTCTGGAGGGTATATAAAATTATCTGATGGGTATTTTGAGCTGAAACTTTACAGACACATTCTGGAGACACCAGAGGCTTATCTTTCATCTTGTAAACGAGCTAATATAGAATTCCTTTATAAGTCATTGAGTGTAACAATTCATACACCAAAAATCTTGCATATTTAAAACCAGAATCAATCACATATTAAAAAAAAATCAATTAAAGCATCACAGAATAGCTCCAAAATACTTAGCCTTATTAAGCTTGTAACAAGTATGCTGTTTGCATTAATATTATTTAACGCTTATTATCTTCACAAAACTTTAATGGAAGCATTAAAGAAAAAACTTACTTGTATTTAACATGCTTTCTATGTATGTAAAATCACACTAGCAAATTTATTTGGATGGAAACTTTGATGGTCTACCATCCTTTAAACACAAGCACTTCCATTCACCCCCAAAAGTAATGTGACCTAAAAGCATGACACACAGCCCACTTGGATTTCCCCTTCTTTTCCATCTCTCTCTCTCTCTGACGCTAGAGTGTCATCTGTTTTGTTGTGTCAGAACCTGATGTTTTGTCTCTCAGCCAGAACAGATGCATAAGGCTGATCTCAGCACAGTACATCATTCTCTGCTCGGCGTCCAAATTAAAGGGGCTGCTCCGAGACTGAATCAAATCCTCTCAGTCTTTCAGTTTGACCCGCTCTGGGTACTCTGTCGCTTGCCCGCTTCTCTGGACACACAGAAAAGGCTCTTTGTCTTGGAGCTTGGCGTCCGGTGCCACAGTCATGGAAACACAGGTCGCGGTGCAGTATTATGAGGGTTGCTGGAGGGACTGGTGCGACTAAAAGCCTCAAACAGTGGTTCCACACAGCCTTTGTTTTGTGGTCTGCCACGCTTTTCTTTTACCCGTAAAGTCGGTAGTGAAGTGCTGAGCATTCAGATCAATAGAAAATCGAGTGATTTCTCAGAAGGGCTTGTGGCTCTTTTGAATTCTCTAATGGTTTATAGAGGACACGTTTCATTTCTTTTTTGCAGTTTATTTTTGGTTAATCCTGTTTGCAGCCTATTTCTCATTTAGTGCTACTTTCAGTGTAGTGTCATTCTGGGTTTTTACTTCATTGTATAAATGGTTTCATGTGAACATTGCTTCCAACCAAAACAACGTTTTTTTGCACAATAACTAGTAGGGCTGCACCATATTGAAAAAATCTGCCATTGCAATATTTTGTATTTCTGTGATGTGAATACTGCTTTATTTGGAAAGAGTTCTTCATTCAAGATTGATTTTGGTGATTTTGTAGGGGAGTGAATCTCGAATAATATATAACAAATAACTAACGAGCGTAGATAAATACAATATAGCAAAGATAAATGTGAATTATAGTTTTATGGAGAGTCTAACATGTATTCAGATACAGACATTGAATTATAGCTAGTGCTATTATATACAATACAATTTTTAATAAAGTTACAAGCGTTATAAGTTCTGATGGCCGGATGTTTTGAACTCTGAATTATTAATGTTCATTGAAAAATTTTATTTACTCACCCCTCACTTGTTTCAATGGATTCATGAATTAAATGGTTCAATGGTTGATGGATTAAAATATCTTCTTTTTTTGTTCAACATAAAAAAAAACTAAAACGTTTGAAACAAGTGAAGGGTGAAATGAAAATAGTGAGTAATGTTTAACTTTTGGATGAATTGTCTCTTTAAAAACACAAGCAGCTGATGAACTTTTACTCTATTATAATTAAACTCTGCTCTGATTGTAATAAACTGTAATCCCAACTCAACATTGCATATCCTGTGATGGACTATTGTGGATGCACTCATTGCAATAACAATGCTGAAACGATATTGTGCAGCCCTGATAACAAGCTTCTATATAAAGTAGAACAAAATTGATTTTCATTAAAAAAATTTTAATTATATATATATATATATATATATATATATATATATATATATATATATATATATATATATATATATATATATATATATATATAAAATAAAATAAAATATATTTTTATCCAGATGACTTTAATAAGTTATTTGATTCATTGTAGAGATGTATGGATGCAGTCGTCCAAACTCATGGGAGTCATACACTATATTCATTCTTTTTCCACTGCACTTTATATTCTATACTGTACAATATTTCTGTTAAGTGGCAAGATTTTTGTCTAAGCAAAGTCAGATCTTACTGTCCTAATTAATAATTACAAATTATTATCAAATAATTATTAAAGGCATGATTTTATTTTGGTAAAATAAGCGTAATCTAGAGTCCTTTGCCTTTCATATAAGCAACTTCTGATACCAAATAATCAACCAGAAGTCAAGTTTTTATTTGTTGTTACTATAACTTGTATAGACGACAAGACTTCTGTCGGGCAGTGTATTTCTTCTACACAACTATAAACCAATCGAGAGGTTGTGCTGAATTAAATAAAACCGTAGAATATGAACTGTTTTTCACTTTACCTCAGTCTCAAAGTGTATTATTGTCCCCTAATAACTCAAATGAACAGAGTCGCTCAAAACAATCTTTTTTTTTTCATTTTCTCCACAGTATGAAATCCTGCTCTGTGTTCAAGACCACGACGATCCAGCCATCGATGTATGTAAAAAGCTGCTGGGCAAATATCCCAATGTCGATGCCAGGTTATTTATAGGTAAGTTCTTTGACGATAATATCTTGTCATGTTAAATGAAACCAGTAATAGAAAAAAATCAGCCAGCGTCGTCCCGAGGAACATTTCTTGTCCCTTGTGGGCTCGTCTTTCCTTGACGCTTTGTTTAGTCGTGTGCTGGGAAAAGCCAGAGTCTCGAAGGAGGAACGAGACGACCTGCAACTCAGCTGTGTATATGCAAATGTAGCTCTTGGAATGGATATTGATTCTTGCTCATTAGGAACAGCTGGTGACTGGGGCGGGTGTCTCTCGTGGGTCCTGTTATCCGGCCTACTGCCTTTAGCCAGATCTGTTACAGAACACGCAGTCAGGGATGTGCCAGAGATGCTTTGTGTCAACCTGAAGCCATGTTAGAAAACATGCGACGTCTGCGAGGGTGTTTTGTTTTAAACCTTTCTGAGTTGTTTAGCACAACAGCCAATCAGGGGATTGAAAGTGTGCTGAATGTCTTGGTTTATTATTTATGAAGAGGCTTTTTGAAGTTCTTGTGGTAGATGAGCAGTTATGTTAAATGGGCATTACAAAAAAACACGCAGAAATGTTTTCTTTCATAATGCAGCCTTTTATATCACAATTCTTATACGCTGTGTGATATAATCTTGCATTTCTGAGGAATAAAATGTAAGAGTAAGAATTGTGAGTTGGTCTGTCATGATATGTCACATGATGTATGTAAATGAGCACAATCTTTTTTGGTGCTGCAATATTGTGACCGTTTTAAAGTGCAAAAAGATTGATTACATTTATCCAGCTAGCGAAGTGCTGTGTGGGTAAACACCGCTCTTCTAACCTCTAAAGTTGTTCTAGTGACAGAAGCTAGAGGGCTTAATCTTTAGCCTCCTTGTTCAAGCAACTGACTTTCATACAAAGAATAACCAATTCGATTTTTGCTCAGACTGGGTTGGATGCAGTAGGACCGGTGGGTTACACATGCTGCTCGTCTGGGATGGGAGTGAGGTTTAGGGGTGAGTATGATGAAGGCCAGCTAGTGAAGTGCTATGCAGGTAAACCACCTCTGACCTCTAAAGGAGCTCTAGCTATAGACTCTATAGACCGTGGTGTTTAGCCTCTTTGTTAGAGCAACAGACTCCCATACAAAGAATCGTTGGTTCGATCCCTGCTCTGACCGGGTTGGGTGCAGTAGAACCTGTGGGTTACACGCGGTGTCTCGTCCAGGATGGGAGTGAGGTTTAGGGGGGAGAGTGTAACGGATGCTAGCTAGCAAAGTGTGTACAGTGTGTATGATGTGTTTTGGTTGTAATGTGATGTAAATCTACATTTTGCTGATGAAGCGTCTGCAAACACTTGAGCAACAACACACACTCTGACATTGTTGCGTGTTTGTCAGTGCCTGCCTTTAATCTACACCTCCCTAATTCACCCGTATGTTGCCATTGTCATTTGTTTTTACACTAAACTTTTCATTTTTATGTGTTTTTCAGCTTTTTTTTTTTTAAAAAGTACAGTTTTTGTCTGAAAAAATTGTAAACAGCCCCCACGTAACGTACACTATAAACCGGAAACACTAACACATTTATGCCAGTTAAATCTCTAAATTGTTTAGTGTTTGTCTGCTTAACATGACAAAACTGCATGGTTCGTACCAAGGTATCTCACTGTTGGGAGTCTCATGTTCGATATTCGCTAATATGAACAATTTAATTTAACGACAACAAGCCTGAGAACTGATAACCTAAACCAGGGCTGTTCAAAATTCTGATTCCCATGGCCCCAGTGTAGTGCCGTCACAGAGCCAACGATATGCAGTCATTAAACACACAGAAAGATCCTCTCCCACAAGGTAAACATGTTGGTGTTCCTTTCTCAGAAATCCCTTTAACAATTAAAAATAGACCTAGTTGCAGATATGGCCTGTTGAGGCACTGTTGTAGCTGTAATTTGGCTTTTCTTGCTCTCTTTTGTTAACATTTTATTATTATTTATTTGTTTAGATAAATGTAAAAAACATCTGATTTCAGTATCTAAATATTCTGTGCTCTTAAATCCACGTTCTTGCATTATAATGCTATTATGTTGTCATACTGACTGTCATTATAGTATGAGTCACATAAAATGGTCTTAAATGACAATATCATTTAGTGCACTTTATTGACATGCAAAATATCGCACAACAAAAAGTTATCATGACAGCCGTAATTGTGAGACAAAAACGATTATTTAAAAAAAAAAGAGAAACATTTTATGAATTTAGTATCCGAGTTGATATTATGTGAAGTTTTACGAACTTATTTTGAGAGTAGCATCCATGAAATGATTGGTCACGGCTGGTCGCTCATCTGTAATCATTAGTAAGCTAATCGTATAATTTCAAACCAATAATAAATAGCCCGTCTTACCTTACTCCCTTGTCTTCGTTTTTTGAAGAATTCCATTATCCACCCCGTCTTCCCTTTTCCTCCTTTACCAGTGGGAGCTCTCCAGAACTACCCCGTTACATGCTGATTGACCAGGCGGGAACCCTAGGCTCAATTATCTTGTTTACTTGTGATTGTTTATTTCTTCCAATCACGATTATATTTCTCACTGTTTTGTGTTTTTTATCCACTTGCATGTTGCAAGTTCATAATCTATCTTGCATAATCTATCTCTGCCGTGGTATACGGTGCATTCGGAAAGTATTCATACCGCTTCACTTTTTTTCACATTTTTTTATGTCACTGCCTTATTCCAAAATTTATTACATTTATTTATTTCCTCAAGATTTTACACACAATACTACATAATGACCATGTGAATTATTATTTTTTTGAATGTAGCAAATAAAAATAAAAAATAAAAAAAAAACGAAAATCACATGAAATAAAAATTCACGGCCTTAGCTCAATGCTTTGTTAATGCACTTTTGGCAGCAATTACAGCCTCAAGTCTTTTTTAATATGATGCCACAAACTTGGCACACTTGTCTTTAAGAATTTTTGCCCATTCTTCTTTGCTGTACCTCTCAAGCTCTATCAGGTTGGTTGGATGGGAAGCAACGGTGTACAGCCATTTTCAGATCTCTCCAGAGATGTTTAATAGGATTTAGGTCTGGGCTCTGGCTGGGTCACTCAAGGACATTTACCGAGTTGTTGTGAAGCCACTCCATTGATATTTTGGAGGTGTGCTTTGGGTCATTGTCCTGCTGGAAGATGAACCGTCGCCCCAGGCTGAGGTCAAGAGCACTCTGAAGCAGGTTTTCATTCAGGATGTCTCTGTACATTGCTGCATTCGTCGTTTCCTCTATCCTGACTAGTCTCCCAGTTCCTGCTGCTGAAAAATATCCCCATAGCATGATGCTGCCACCAACATGCTTCACTGTAGGGATAGTATAAGCCTGGTGATGACCGCTGCCTGGTTTTCTCTAAACGCCTGGTATTCACTCCAAAGAGTTAAATTTTAGTCTCATCAGACCAGAGAATTTGGTCTTATGGTCTGAGTCCTTCATATGCCTTTTGGCAAGTTCCAGGCTGGGAGATGCTTCTGTTTGGCCACTCTACCATACAGGCCTGATTGCTGGATTGCTGCACAGATGGTTGTTCTTCTGTAAGGTTCTCCTCTCTCCACAGAAGAATGCTGGAGCTCATACAGAATAATCATGGGTTTATTGATCACCTCCCTGACAAAGGCCCTTCTTTCCCGATCATTCAGCTTAGATGGCTGGCCAGCTCTAGGAAGAGTCCTGGTAGTTCCAAACCTCTTCCACTTACGGATGATGGAGGCTACTGTGCTCATTTTAACTTTCAGAGCAGCAGAAAATTTTCTGCAACCTTCCCCAGCCTTTTGCCTGGAGAAAATCCTGTCTTGGAGGTCTACAGACAATTCCTTTTTCTTCATGCTTGGTTTGTGCTTTGGCATGCCCTGTCAACCCTGAGACCTTATGAAGACAGGTGCATGCCTTTTCAAATCATATCCAATCAACTGAATTCAGGTGAACTCCGATTAAGCTGCTGAAACGTCTCAAGAATGATCAGTGAAAACAGCATGTACCTGAGCTCAATTTAGAGCTTTAGAGCAAAGGCTGTGAATACAGATGTACATGTGATTTTTTTTTTTTTTTCAGGTTTTTTATAACAATTTTGCAACCATTTCAAAAATCTTTTTTCACATTTTCATTACAGGGTATTGTGTGTAGAATCTTGAGGAAATAAATAAATCCATTTTGAAATTAGGCTGTAGCATAAAAAAAATGTGGAAAAAGTGACGCGCTATAAATACCTTCCAGATGCACTGTAGCTATTACTACTTTGTATAGTAAGTATTTCTTGTAATTGCGAGTTTATAGTCTTTGGAATTCTGATATTTTTTTCAATTGTGATTTTTTTTTTTTTTTTCTCAATTATTTGCTGGTTTCATTTTATCCTTCACAAATCTGATTATATTTCTGTCTATTTTGAGTTTTTGTTTTAATACAATTCTGACTATCTTACATTTTCCATAATCTCTCACAATTCTGACTTTGTTTCAGTCTTTTTTATAACACTGTGTTATAACAACTCCCAATTTCATATTTATTATTTGACTGAGCAGAATTGTAAAATGAAAAAGCTGAACCAGCAATCAGAATCATGATGTTAACAGCAAATCATTTTAATCAGTCATTTATAGCTTTAATAGAGATAGTTAGTATTAACACGATTTCTCTTAATCTCATTTTAGGTGGTAAGAAAGTTGGCATCAACCCAAAAATAAATAACCTCATGCCAGCTTATGAAGGGGCAAGGTACGAGCTCGTCTGGATCTGTGACAGTGGCATTCGAGGTAAGTTTGGTGATTTATTTATTTATTATATTTGTATATTTCAAGATTTTTACATAATAATATAATGACAAAATGTCTTTTTAATTAATGGACTTTATTGTTCTTTGAAACGTTTTCTTTATGGATGAATATTTTTCGAAATAGAATTAAAATACAGCATTAAAATAAGCAGAACTTGTTGTTATTAGCTGTCAGTGCTGATCCTGAACTGTTACTCAACAGTGAAGCCAGACACTCTTACTGATATGGCTAATCAGATGACGGAGAAGGTGGGACTGGTTCATGGTCTTCCATACGTGGCAGACAGACAAGGATTTGCCGCTACATTGGAGCAGGTCAGAAACCTTCACTCTTGACCTTCATGCTTTGTCAGAAGAGCGCTAAACAACATTCTTTCAGATTTTAGTAGCTCAATCATGAACATGCGTCACTTTTTTATTGTTTCTGGGTTCTGTCCTATCACACTGTAATAAAACTGCTACGCTGGCACTCTGTTGCTACTAGAGACTTCAAAGCTGAAATGAGACACCATATTGAGGAGTTCCACTTTTTATTTACATTTTAAAGCTCTTTTGGCAAATTACTGAAAACTTTAACTTCAGTAATGGCAGGCAGTAAAGCTTTATTAATACATTTTCTCTTAAAAAAGTTATTTGAGCCCAAAAAGTATATATATATTTTAAATAAGCGTCTCTCGATCAATTTAATGTTTTTTTTTTTTTTTTTGGATTGTGATAGATGAGAAATCAAGTAGATATTACAGGAAGAGGCTTAGACACTCAAGACTTACTCATTCATATTTATTGAAGGGTGAAGAAAGAACGATCTATAATATTTTGACGATAAAACATTTTAATAGGACGCATATTTTTATATGATATTAGAGAATGTTTTTATTCAGGAAATGTTTTAAGGGAAATGTTTGAAAAGGTGTTTTTAGAATATTTATTATTAATCAAACTAAAAGATTGTATCCAACTCTTATCAGTGTTTTTGTAATGTAATGTAATGTAATGTAATGTGTATTTATATAGCACATTTATTGTGTATGGCCATACACCCAAAGCACTTTACAATCATGAGGGGGGTCTCTCCACACCACCACCAGTGTGCAGCATCCACTTGGATGATGCGACGGCTGCCACAGGACAACAGCGCCAGTGCGCTCACCACACACCAGCTATTGGAGTGTAGAGACAGTGATAGTGATAGAGCCAATTCAGTGGATAGGACACCCCTGCTCTTTACGAGAAGTGCCATGGGATTTTTAATGACCACAGAGAGTCAGGACCTCAGTTTAACGTCTCATCCGAAAGAAGGCGCCCACTGACAGTGTAGTGTCCCCTTCACTTTACTGGGGCATTAGGACTCACACAGACCGCAGGTTGAGCGCCCCCTGCTGGCCTCTCTAACACCACTTCCAACAGCAACCTAGTGTTCCCATGTGGTCTCCCATCCAGGTACTGACCAGGCTCAGCCCTGCTGTTGTTGCTATTTGATATACTATGATATCATGTAATATGATAGAATGTTATATATTGTATATTTAGTATGCAAGTTCTTGCGACGTTGACTTGTTTAGAGAAATATTTCTTGAAAACTCGAGGAAAAATCTTGAGTCTACATCTTATGGCTGGTTTCCAACTGAGTTGTACGGTATGGTATGGTACGGGTTAATATGGGTCACCTTTGGGTGGGTCTGCGATTATATAAACTAAATGCAACATATACACTGTAAAAAAATCGTAAAAAAGGTAAAATGACTGGCACCTACGGCTGCCAAACAAAAACCATAAAATTACGGTAAAATTTCTTTGTTGAAATAAAGTGCAAAAAAAATTTATTTACAGATATTTTCATTCAAATGTTTACAGAAAAACACTGTTATTTTACAGTCTTTTCCCAGATTATTATGATCAAATCCTTTTAATAAAGTTACACACTAAGAGTTTTACAAAGAAAAACTTATTTTATAGACTTTTTCCTAGATTAATACGATCTAACACCATCAATAAAGTGTCTGCACTAATAGTTCAAGAGAAAACAATGTTATTTCAAAGAATTTTTCCTAAATCATTACCTTTAATAAAATGCCAAGACATGCTCATAGTCGTAATTTAACAGTTTTATTTTGGATCAAAAAAGTGGAAAAAAAAAACAACAAACGAGATAAAACTGATTAAAATTCTCACAACTTTAAAATTACAGCTGTTACATTTCATTGAATAGTATTAATGTAAGACATGTAGAGGTTATATGGATGATTCAGTTACAAATCTTAAAAGAAATGGAACTGTAACGAGAAGGGGACGCTGATAAAGGAGTGAAGATCCAAATGCAGGTTTATTACACAGAGATGGTCAGGCTAGCAACAGTCAGCACAGGGGCAAACAGATAAATGCAGGGAATCCAGAGTCATGGTCAAATAACAGGCAAATGGTCAGTCCCGGCAGCAAACCAAGTAAAAATGTAACAATCAAAGCAAGACAAAAAAGAGAAAAGCGTCATAACGTTCACAGTAACAGTATAACAAGACTTAGCAATTGGTGCATGTGTCTGTGCTGCTTTTACAGTCCATGTAATCAGTTCATAACGATCCTCCGACTGTGTGTGTGTGTGCGTGTGTGTGTGTGTGTGTGTGTGTGTAATCAGCGGAATCCGGAACAGGTGCATGTGAGCGGATTTTATTTATTGAACGGATTTGATCGTAATAATCAATGATAATCAAATAATAATAATGTTTTTCTGTAAACATTTTAATGAAAATATTTGTAGATTTATTATTTTTTTGCACTTTATTTCAACAAAGAAATTTTACCGTAATTTTATGGTTTTTGTTTGGCAGCCATAGCTGCCAGTCATTTGACCTTTTTTATAATTTTTTTTACAGAGCAATTAATTACAATTTATTACTTTAATTTTACGTAATTTTAAATGTACTTAAAAAACAGGAAAACACAGTGTAAATAATACGGCATTCTTTTTTTGTATAAAACAGGAAAATTGCTGTAATTTGTCATTAATTATATAGTACATAAAATAACAGTCAAGCTGTTATTTACAGATTGTAATTTTTTGATGGACTTTTGAATATAATTTAAAGTAACAGAAAAAAACAGTATAAATAATATGATAATTTCCCTGTATAAAAAACGAAAATGTCAGTAATTTGTCTTAAATGATAAAGTACATAAAATGAAAGTCAAACTGTTAATTTAGAGAGATTGTTTGTCATTTTACTACACTTTGAATATAATTTGAAATGACAAAAACTTACTGTAAACAATTTAGACATTTTTTGTAAAATATATTTTTTTTAAGTGTATGAACACATACAGACCCTTAAAGTCTCTAATATGTTACCAATTACAGAAAAACTACACATAGCATACATTTAGTCCTTATTTAGTTTCAAAAACAACACGCAACATAAAGCTTAAAATCTGTGCAAACCTCACCAGCACATGTAACCTGTTGTTAAAAAGTAATTCTGTTATTCTGAGGTTAAAATAACCCAAAAGGTGATGATAATAGTTAAACATGGCAGTTTGTTCATGTTTTAGGTTGCTGAAAGAATCATTTGCTCCTTTGTTTCTTCCGGCTTCTCCTTTGTTTTCTCGCTCCTTACTCTCGCATTTGTCCTTTTCTCGATGGGTCAGATGTCAGAAGCACTTCAATAGTCACGCGCACGTTATTATCATCAGCTCAAAAAGTTTGTTATTTTAAATATAGGCATGCGGCGAGTGAAAACGAGTAACCACTCGCGCTTTAGATGGCCTTGTACGGGGCACAGGGTAGATTCTACTCTTCTTCTTGGCTTTGTGGCTGTTCATCAAGACGATAACAAGGCTTATTTGAGCTTCGGCTAACCATGGCTATCCTTTGTTTTCATTTTCTGGCTTGTTGCACGAGTGAGTGACGTATCTCTGTAAACCAATAGTGTCCAGTTGTGCGTCTTGCTCCACCTTTTGGTACCCTTTTATTGTGCTAGGTACTCTTTGCAAAGGGAACCCAAAAAGTGGTATGCACAGTTCGATTTTAGGTACTCTTTGACAGTGGAAACGACCATAAAAGCCTACCATACCGTTAAGCTATTGTACCACTCAGTGGAAACGGGCCCAAAGTAGTTTAGAGAGATGTCTTGCAACTGTGACTTGAAGGGCTTTTAGAATTTTGTTGCAATATCTGACTTTATCTCTTGCATTTAACATGTTTTTTTTCTTCATATTTCTGACTTCATATCTGTTTGTTTTTTTCTCAGTTGTTACTGTAATTTGAGCAGATGTTTGTTTCTTAGAACAACAAACTTTTACAACTGAATGAGATGAACACTTTAGCTATTAAATTTCATGCTAATGGATTTTTTAAATGTTAATTAAGACAGTTCTTGCAATGCTGACTAGAAATACTTTTAGAAAACCTGAGGAAAAATCTTGTTAACATCTTAGTAGTTTAGAGAGATTGCTTGCAACTGTGAGTTGATTGGCTTTTTAAAATTTAGTTGCATTTTCTGACTTTATTTCTTGCAGTTTAATTGTTTTATTTCACATTTCTGACATCATTTCTTGTCGTCCCCCCCCCACAATTGTTACTGTAATTTGAGCGGATGTTTCTTAGAACTGCAACTTTCACAACTAAAAGAGTTCAGCATATTTCGCAATTCTGAGTGCTATTTCCTGCAGTTCATGTATTTTACACACATTTCTGACATAAAATTGCAACTTTATTTCTTGCATTTCCAAGTTTATAAGATTTCTTGAAATTATTTCTGTATTTTTGTCATTTTTCCCCCTCAAAATCTCTAGATATAAACTTTGAATTGCTAGATAAAGAAGTCTGTACTGTAAAACACTAAATTATCTAAAAACAAATTGGATTATGAGACTAAAGTGGCCTTTTTAAGTTGTTTACCCTATGACCGGAAACAAATAGAAGTCTATATATTTACATGTTAAACTGACAGCCCTACGAATAATGAACTGTCAAAGTGTTTATATCTGTAGTGCTATTCTGAGTGCATCAAATCTTTAGAGATTAATTATGTGAAAAATAAACAGTTTTGTCCCATGTGGGATCCTGCAGGTTTATTTTGGAACGTCACATCCTCGTTCCTACATCTCCGCCAATGTAACAGGAATCAAGTGCGTCACGGGGATGTCGTGTCTCATGAGGAAGGACATCCTGGACCAAGCCGGCGGCCTGATTGCTTTTGCTCAGTACATCGCTGAAGATTACTTCATGGCCAAGGCCATCGCAGACAGGTTTGCCAGACTCATTACTCATCTGTGCAATACTGATTCAGTCAGATCATTGTTTTTATATTCCTCTGTCTGAGAACAGAGCGTGATAATGAATGAACAATTACATTAACTTTTTAAAGAATTAAGTACATTTTTTTAACTCACTGTTCCAAAATTCTATGACCGTATTTAGTTTGTGAAACACAAAAGCAGATGTTTAGCAGAATGTTTAGGTTGCTCTTTTTCAACAAAAATAATTAATAAAAAACTGAAATACTTTAAAAAGTGGCCTGAATATATCTGAGCTGTGTGACTAATAAACTTAAACTTGTGTTCTATATTTCAAAGACTATCAAATATCAATACCATGCCTCAAAATAGATTGAACTCATGAAATAAGCAATTTTAACTGCTCTTTTACTCTTTTAAAGCAGTGACCTTGAAATTACGGAAATTGTGGTTTGTTCTATTGTGGTTAATCTATAGCTTCACTCTATATTCGGTTATAGCAATTTTTAAATGATTTAAATTTCTATCTTTACTTAATTTACTGCCTTAATGTGGATATGCAAAACAATAATGAAATTCATATCAATGGTAGATTAATAAGGCTTTATATAGCTTGACAATCTGGTTTCCCTATACTACTTTAATTGTGGAAAGGAACATCTGAAGGTCATATGGATGTGGAACAACACAAGGGCGAGCAAATGACAACCAATGTTGAGTTATAATGTGGATTCAGATTGATTTTGTTAATGTAATCTTCTTTTTAAACATATACAGATGAGGTCAAAAATGTATAATAATATATAAGTTTACAATTAAATATTATACTAATATATTTATTTTTATATTTTTAAATATTTCCCAAATGAGGTTTAACACAGCAAGGATTTTTTCACAGTATTTCCTATAATATATTTTCTTCTGAAGAAAGTCTTATTTATTTTATTTTGGCTAGAATAAAAGTTAGAATAAAAATTTTAAATCTATTTTATGGTCAAATTATGAGCCCCTGTTATATACCCTATGACCGGAAACAAATAGAAGTCTATATATTTACACGTTAAACTGACAGACCTACGAATAATGAACTGTCAAAGTGTTCCCCCCAAAGCAATATTGTTTTCAATTGTCTACAGACCAAACCATTATTATACAATGACTTTCCTAATTACCATAACTCGCCTAATTAAGCCTGTAAATGTCACTTTAAACTAAAGAAGTGTCTTGGAAAAAATATCTTTTTAAATATTTACTGTCATCATGGCGAAGATAAAAGAAATCAGTTATTTGAAACGAGCTATTAAAACCTATGTTTAGAAATGTGTTTATCTTCTTTGCGTTAAACAGAAATTGGTGGGGAAATTATACAGGGGGCTAATAATTCTGACTTCAACTGTATATCAATAGTCTCAGCTAAAATGTCCTTTATTTCCTAGTTCACTGATGTGGTGTTTCTCTTTCAGAGGATGGAAATTTTCCATGGCGACACAGGTAGCCATGCAGAATTCAGGCTCATACTCCATCGCACAATTCCAGTCTCGCATGATCAGGTACAGCAGTTGTTCAATTAGATTTTTTTTGTGTTTGCAAGTGAAACTAATCTGTTTTCCTGTTAGGGCCACCTCCGGCATAGTGATGAGACTGGGTTATTTGTTGTTGTTTGCAATTTTCTGATCGCATCATAGATGGATTTTTTTTTAATTGCAGCATAGTAAGAATCATATCTTGATGCATTTGGTCTATTTATCAGAATATGTCATCCGGCTGAAAGTCATTATGCTGTTATGTAAGGATGGATCCATTTCCCATTTTGTGGTGGGAAAAATACATCTGAGCTTCTCAGAAACGTCTTCTGTTGTCCGCTGTTAATAGATGGGCCAAGCTGAGAATCAACATGCTGCCAGGCACCATCATCGAGCCCATCTCGGAGTGCTTTGTGGCGAGTCTTATCATCGGCTGGGCCGCTCATCATGTGTTCCGCTGGGACATCATGGTGTTTTTCCTGTGCCACTGCCTCGCCTGGTTCATTTCAGATTATATCCAGCTCAGAGGAGTACAGGTGAGACACTAGATTGTGTGAAAATCAGTACGCAGAAAATGTGGCTCCATTATGGTATAAAACAGCCACTTTTGTAAAGCCTCAGACTATTTTTTCTGGGTTTAAATTCCTTACCTTATTCCTCTCAGAAATATAAATTTACTGAAGAAACTTTGGTTCCTTGTTGGCGTCAAATCAATATTGCCTTTCCATAATTTGAGTTTTTTTAACTTGTTTCCGCAAAGCACACAAGGTTATTCCCCCCAAAATTTACATTTGTTGTTAATTCACCTGCCCTCAGGCCTTCAAAAATGTAGCTAACATTTTTCTTCTGTGTAATCAATTTACTATGTTTATTTTGTTAGCTCACATTGTTATTCTTAAGCTGCGTAATTAATCCATGCAAGTTGATTCACTGAAATATGTTTGTTTTGGTAATCTTTAATCAAATTCTGCCAGTTTGCTTTGGCGTTTTGAGTGGCGGTTCTTCTGTTGCCGTCAACCTGAGGGCTTCTATAGCAACTGTGAATTGATTTTCTTACCTACGCCCCTTACTGTTAATATGCTATGAAAGAATGATGCGCAAAAATAAAGCCCCGCCCCTATTCGATATTCTGTTTCAGTTGGAAGTACATCAACATACTGAAATGAAAGTCTCAGTAATGTCCAGTTTACATGGACTTTAAAGAATTTCAGCTGAAATGGTGGTCCCACTTTATATTAAGTGTCCTTAACTACTACTTAGTGGTGTGGGTAGGTTTAAGGGTGGGTTAAGGTGTAAGGGATGGTCAGCAATGTATTTACAAATGTAATTACAGAAGTTAATTACAGATGTAATTACAAACAGGTATTTAATCAAACATAAGTACATAATAAATACATGTATTTACACAATAAGTACATTGTAACAAACTATTTATTCCTGTCTAAGTACATATTAGTTAAGGCCACTTAATATAAAGTGGGACTGAAATGGTGGCTCGTGGTGATTTTAGAAAAAACAAGTCAATTACATTTGGCACTTCTAATCCGAACTGTCTTTTTTTTTTTTTTTAATTAATATTGATAATTTAATAATAATCTAGTCATTGTCTGCACAGAACATGTTTCTGGTTTTAAAAAAAGCAACTATTTTTATTTCAAAAGCATAAAATCAAGCCAATGTTTACCTTATTCTTTTCAGAAATCTCTTGTTATTTAAATTAACATTAAAACATAAACAGACCTTGATGTCCCAGCTTTGGCTTTTCTCAAATTAATAGGAAAACTCTGTAAATTGTTTTTTATGTTCAAGACACAACATCCAGCTGACTTGTTTGTCAGGTTTTGTGGGATCAGTTTGGTACCAGTGTTGTCATTGCTGACGTTTGTTTTCACTGATTTGAATGTGTTCACATTGAGTTTGTTGAATCATGAAATGTGAAGGATGATTTGTCTACATATTACTTTAGGCTCCATTCTTTTATAAAACCACAATTTTATTTTTTGGTTAACCTTAAAGAAATGGTTCACCCAAAAATGGAAATTGTCATCATTTACTCTACCTCCACTTGTTCCAAACCCGATTGAGTGCCTTTTTTTGTTGAACACAAAAAAATTATATTTTTAATAATGTTGGAAACTAGGACTGCATAATATTGGAAAAAACTGACATTGCGATATTTTGTTTTTCTGCAATATATATTGCATTATCATAATTTCACAAAATATTACCTAAATCGCTCTACTTGGAAAAAAAACTTGTACATCTGCACAAAACATAATAAAAATTTGAAAGCATAAATGAAAACAATTGAACAAAGCTATCATTTTATTGTTTCTTAATGGTTTTCTGTAGAGTCTAACAACATTGAAAAACAGAAATTGTATAATAATCAAATGTAAAATAGCACCTTTGTATTTATTTAAAATTTGTAACACTTAATAAATGATTCATAGTCTGTAGTTATTATAAAGCATGAGCATATAGTGAATTAATTATTTTTTTAAGCATTACCTCTACATTTATAAACAGAAGTGAGCATAACTGCAGCTACAAATCTTGACTCATAAGCACATTTATAATGTGCCTAATAATTGTACTTTCATAATTTGTGACATTCATTTCATTACTAAATTAAGTATTGCATTATTTACAAACCATTTGTATTTAAGTTTCATTTTATTGAATTTGTATTAACTGTCATTTACAAGGGATTTATAAAGCTTAAATAGTTCTTACTTTAGATTAACTGGATTAAGTTGAGTTATTAAAGCATTTATTGACATACAAATGAACTATTAGTATGTGCCTGAATAATATGAATTCTAAATGTTAATTTGAATAGTTTATTAATCATTTACTTACACATTCTAATTTTGCAAAAACCACCAACTATGCTTAAATAACTGGTTTGTAAATAATGCAATACTTAATTTAATGATGAAAAATGATTCTCATCATTAACAATCATTAACAAAATATAAAAGAATGTTTATTAAGTACATTAAACGTGCTTATAAATCAAGAATGGAGCATTATTAATGTAAAAGTTAGTGCTTAACAAATAATGAATTCAATATTTGCTAATGCTCATTAAATGGTTCATAGTGTGTAGTTATGATAAAGTGTTACCAAAAATGATTAAATACAGGTATTTTTTGTTAAATCTAAGCTTCAGAATTTCTTTACTTTAAAGTCGGCGTCAATGGCGTAGTGGTTAGTACGAGATCCAATGCTGATCCTTATCTCTCTCTGCTACCCATGGTTTCCTGTCCATACTCTCTACTTCCTATAAACTAAGGGGGAAAACCCTGAATGTAAAAAATAATAATAACTTGGTTTATATTCGCTTGAAAACGCATCCAAATGAAAATCTTCCACTCTAAATCTCCCACTCTCTTAACTTAACATTGCAGGTCTTGGGATGTGACTATTGTAGATTAGCACATTGCGATATCGATGCTGAAACAATATATTGTGCAGCTCTATTGGAAACAGATTGACTTCCATAGTAGTTTTCATTTTCTTATGGATTTCAGTGGCTAACAGTTTCCAGTCTTTCCCAAAAAAAATCTTTTGTGAACAAGAAGCACTGCATTAAACCACTCCTGATGGCGCTTGCATTTAAAATAGCCTTTCATCTGGTTTTCCCCTAAACTAAATGAATGATTAGATATATTTTACTTTGATTACATTATCGCTGCTGTAATAGACACCTTATGAAATTGAAAATAGTTATGACAACCTGAAAAAAACTTGCTGTGCATTTTGCTTTTAATATGTCCAAAAAAAATGTGTAATCCAGTGATCAGTTGGTCTTTACAAGTTGTTCTATCACAGCAATATTTTTGAAATTGCTCCATTCGTTAGTCATTCGTTAGTTTCTCTAATTTGTGTCTTACTAAACTCTTTCCCAACAGGGCGGCCCTCCATCCTTCTCCAAGCTGGACTACGCAGTGGCCTGGTTCATCAGGGAGTCCATGACTATTCAGATTTTCCTGTCTGCTCTTTGGGATCCCACCATTAGCTGGAGGGCCGGACGTTACCGCTTGCGTTGCGGAGGTACAGCAGAGGAAATCCTGGATGTTTAAACGGCACCGTGTGCCAAGGACTATGCACTGCAAGACCACAAGGTCGCAGATGGACAAATGAACTGCAAACATTTATTGTTTGTTTTGGGTTTTATTCCAACTTATAGTTTTTAACCTGTGACTTTAGCTCAATAGATTATTTATGTCCTTGGTGCTTTTTTTTCTATTTGTTTTCCTGTGAGGTCTCTTGATGATTTGAGACCTTGTTCTAGATGAGCCAAAATTAATGAAGGGGCAAAGAAGAGAGAACTTTTGAGGATGAGGCGGCACTTCAGTGGTCATCAAAACCCTGATGAAAAATATCAACTTTTTTCTTTTCTTTTTTTCTTTTTTTTTTATAGGTCCTTGTAACATGTGTAGTGGTGATTGAATATGTGTCCAACACATCCATTTTATCATACGTTTGGATGAATGGTACAGTTTTTAAATGATATAGTGGGGTGTAGAAGTCACTTGCGTATGAATGGATCACATGCCTATCACAGTGTTGCTCTGAACATACAGCACTCTTGCCATATTTTATACATTTTTGGACCTCTGAATGCTCAAAAACGGATCCCCTCAGGTCCATTTTATGTTTACCGGACAGCAATATCTTCTGAGGTGATGCATAGGGAATTTTGGCAGAGCTTTGTATATGGATACTGTGGATCTATCCAGAAAACGACGCAACACTTGTATATGCTTGCACAGTTTTTGCAGCCACCCTGCAGTATTCAAGGCCTAGGTTAAACCTCGTTGTGATACCTGCAGATTTAATCTCATATCTTATGAAATGTAGTGCCATTTGAGGAGTGAACGTTTTTATTGTTATAGTTTTGCTTTTCTCCAAGGCCTTCGTCATCTCCCCTGCTTCATTCATTCATTCATTCATTCTCTGCACTGGTTGCTTTTGTACCAGGTTCAGGGTCTGCTTAAACATTTCCTCCATGCTGCTGCTTGTTTAAGAAGCTCTGTCAGTATTTTCCTGCAAAAGTTTGACTGGATATATATAAATGCTTACCTCCAAATTGTCCAAACATTTCATCCGACACCATTTCAGAACCAATTTCTGCTTGTCATGAAGAGTTTGTGAAGTTTTCTTTATATACACTCAGTTTTTTTGAGTTAAAGCACAAAATGATTTTAGAAAGTGCTATGTTTACGCTCTGAAACATTTCAGACCTCACAGTCACACCATGTGCTTTTTGGCTTCTCAATTTCCCCATTTACATAATCCAACTTTGCCATCAGTCAAACAGTATTCACGAAACAATTGACATTCTTCTCTGTATTCCTTTTTTTTGTTGTTGATGTTCGAGGAACTGCTAGTTTCTGTTTTCTACTGCCAGCACTTGTCGTTAAACCGCTTCTTCTGCATTTTCCTCATTTTTTTGAGTCTCTCTTGCCCGCCTTCTTGAGCTGATCATTAAGTACCCGTGTCAGCACTGGCAGTATTGTTTTTACACAATTCACTTGGGTAGTTCAACTCTTATTCAAAAACAAACACAAGTGAAGTACAGTACGTATGTCTTTATAGTCCCAACAGCTGCCATTTATGAAGTACACTGTTTTAACCCAATGCCAAACCCTCCATTGTTAATGTTTTTTTGGTGTTGATTTCTTCTAATTTGAACACATCTGACTTTTGGGCTCACTATTGGAAATAAACTTGTGTTTTGTGCATGAGGCCACGAAATGGATGTCGTTTGTTTGTAGCATTGAGTTAAAGTATTAACATAATCAATTAGCAATAATCATAATACATGCTATTGAAGTAAAATATCAGACTGTGAATCCAAAGCAAGCTTCCAAACCCATTTCTTTACCCAGTTATGGTATAAAAACATTTCATTTTTTGTTGACTGTTTTGCATTAGCTATACCTCATACGACCAGAGGGCCTCATTCACCAAACATGAACAGACAATTTGTGAAATCATTCAAAGCTGATACCTGGAATTGCTTCGCAAAGCCATTCTTGTGTAAATGGTTGCATCAAATGTAATCATGTAACAAAATATATTTTCCAAATATAAATTGGGGTTAAAAATTGTTTAAATTACAGTAACCGTTTTGATAAGAATGGTTTTATGGATCATCCAGGGTGGCTTGGCAATTAATGCAAGTTTTAAGAATTATTTTGTTAACACTTGCGGGACTGAATAATTGCACCAAACCATTAGTGTGATTTATCACATTAAATTAATGTAAAACCCTTTCTTCTGTATATTGATCGAATTTGGTTATGATTTAGATAAAATCGTTAGAAATCAGATAGGTTTGTCAACTAACGCAAGTTTTAAGAATTAGTTCACAAACTCTTGCAGGAATTGCTGCTTAATTTTTTGTGAAACCAAACTTAAAAACATTAAATTTCACATTAAATTTAATAGTAAAATTTTTTTTTTTTATTTGCAATTATTAATTGTTTTACGAAATATTAGGTTTCAGATGAAAATGGTTTTATGACTTGAGTTTGGTGTGGCAGTTTACGCAAGACTAGCTATATGAATTCTGCTGATAGTTGGATAAATTGCTGCATGGAATTGAAATATAAAACTATTCAGTCATAATTTGCCATAAATTTTAAAATTTGATTCGTCAAACCATTTATCTGTACATTGGCCTATTGACAATTTAGGTAAAATCATTTTATGAAATGTTAAGTTTGGTGTGCCAGTTAATGCAAGCAAATTGACCACAGAATTGGCTCATTTCTCAGAATTGTTCTTGCGTAGATTTAGCTGAATTAATACAAAAACATTTTACAAATCAATTCTTGCACATTTTGTTTGCCATTTTGTAACATTGTTCTGCTAACATTTACAACTTTTGCTGAGAATGGTTTCATGAATTGTTCAGTACCATCTGATACAAGACAGTTAATCTATTCCAATGACAGTTGCGTAAATTGAATTAGATCATTTTGCTAAACCAATCTTGATTAATTCAGTTCATGTTTTAGCTAAATAATGTCTCCACAAATTGACTATCAGATTGATCCAGCTCTTGAATGAAGGCCCAATGTGTTGTAGTTCTGCAAGATTGGCAGAACCGAATGTAACTTTGCATGAACGTGACTAACGGTCGATTTTATAAATGTCTGTCAGTCACATTGGAAACACCAACCTTGACATTTTAATTTGGGAAGGGGAAAAGCTGGAACTTTCTGCAACTATTCAAGTTCCTCTCTTGACTTTCAACCATATCTGCTGGTTCTTATTTTATACATGTGAAAACAGAAATCTGTGTCAAAAAAGTCACCTCATACGAAAAGTCTACCACCACTGTAAATGTTTAGACTTTTCCTTGTTTGTGTGGCTGTGAGAGAGAGTGTGTGGGTGTGTGTATGCGGAAATATGCTGTAATGGCCTTTTTGATATGACAATTCTTCAAGGATTGTATTATCGTAACGTCGTGTGGGGAACTGGACTTTATTTTCCATTAGTGTACAGTTGTTTGTTTGCCAGATTACCTTTTGTTGTGAAATGCTGATGACCCGTTTGGTGCCATGTGCACGATATATGGCTGTTCTGCACTTGCCAACCTGCGTACCAGCTGCCATTTGCCTAAACAAAAATCTCTGTAAACAAAATAATCAAGAAATGGTGACGTTTAGTGTACATTAACTGCTTTGGCCTGCAGGATCTGAAAATATATGGGTTTTTTCTCAAGCATTTGAGGCAGTTTGAGTCTTATGTGTCACATCCTGTGTTTTGATTTAAATATCACTGCATTTTACTATAAATAATCATTCTTTATCACTGGACTCGATGTTGAACAAAGCGACCAAGAGAAGAGAAACTTCTGCTACGTTTGCCATGTGGTCATCAGAGTTGAGGAAAATAAAATAAAAAAGTCTAGTAGTGATCCACCACTTTTATTTTATGTGCTGTATATGTCGACAAAAAAGCAAATACAAGAGCTTTTATCATTATTATTATTTTTTTTAGAGTTTCTGTACAGTTTATTTATGAAGTTTGGTTGATAACCATTAGATGCACTGCTTCCTAAGGCTTAATTTATCATCAAGTTGTACACTTTCTTTTGTTTATTTTTGCCTATGAAGATATGTTTGGTTGTGGGCAGTGTAAAAGTATGGCTGGACAGACTTCTGGTTTTGAATCTTTTGTGTAATTTTGTAGATGTTCTATATTGTACTCTTGATGCTGAATGCGTAATCCACAGCTGGAAACTGTGTCATTACAGATAAATTAAAGCTTTATCAAGCAATATAAAAAGAGTGTTTGCTTTGGTTAATAACTGTGTTTTAATAAGTGTGTTTTATGTACATTTAGCATGTTGTTTATGTTGGATAACTGACATGACACCATTTTAAAAGAGATCCAAAAACATTGTTGCCAAATTGGGCGGTTTTGAATATGATTGTGTGGGTGAAATATGGCATTTGCGGGTTGACAAAATTTGGGTGGTTTTGACACGTAAATTTAACATGCAACTTACTTCACAAAACAGCTGTGTGCTGCTACTCCATTCAGTTAGTAATGACCAGTGCATATCTCAAACCACGTGGGCCAACTTGCAAGAGGCGAAGGAAAGCTGCATCAAAATCCAAATTCCCTTCGCGTGTACATGCATCACACTGTGCCTGCAGGTAAACTCACAGCGGTTTATCATGACACTTTTATCGATAATCTTTTTTACGCAATTGACAGCAAGAACAAACACAGAAGTGTTGTCTGATTGACAAGCAGCACCTAATTATGTTCAAAAGAATTTAAAACGCCAGATCGGATGAATATATATCCCATGTCGAAAGTACAACTCTAATAGGTAGTGTAATCTACACAACATTAAGTGCAGTGTGTGGGTGAGAGAGTTCAGTTTTTCAATGTGATCCAGTTATATTCTGTGACTGCTGGTGTTGGTTGCCATATGGTTAAAAGTTATGACAGTTAAAGTAACTTGGTTAATTCAGATTTAAAATTGAATAAAATATTGATCTAATATTCTGGGCAGGTTTTGGACTGTTTTTGGGCTGGAAAAACTCAGCTATATCTGTCAACACTGTCCAAAACTGCAAAGTTAACACCTTAAGGTTGCATGCGAGTTTTTGTACTGCAGAAATGCGAACGTTGTTCAAAATATGCTCAGCCATGTGTACTATTTCAGTATAGTGTTGTTTTTTTCAGTCAGTTGCACTTACGTGTTGCTGTATTGGTAGTGACAGTTGATTAATATTGTCCCGCCCCTCCTCCACTGTGATTTGATGGCAACTCAAATCTCACAAAAGTTTAACTAGCAATGGCAGAAAAAAGGCTGAGCGATCAGTGCTTACCGTAAAATGCACGTTCAGCGCTTTGCTATTATGCAGGCGTTAAAGTTAATGAAACGCTACCATTGACAACAAGCAAAATGAAATGTTTTGGTTGTAAAAAAAAAAAAAAAACATGCTACATTGGACAGGGATGGGCAAAAATACATTGAAATGTATTTTAAAATAAAAACCTCAGTTTTACATGTATCAAAATAAACAACAAAATACAACAGCCACAAACGTATCGAAATAAAATATTGTATTTTGAAAATACTTTTACTAGGGAGCATAAAATTCTTTGCAAACCTTTAATCAATAGGCATATTGGATCAATCCCTCCATCATTAAACTAATTTAGTGAAGTAAACAATGATTGATAACATGTTTTCTCTGAGCATCACCTCTGTATATAATATAAAACAAAAAAGTTTAAGTTTTATAATAAAATTTGTTTTTCTCTTTGATTTTAGTTTAGATTTTGTACAAGTTTTATGCAGAAAATCATGTCTTAAAGATGATCTCTTTAATCACTGTAATAACCATTTAATGCATATAATGAGTTAGACTATAGTACTATATCTGTTAATTGTGTAAATCGCCACCATCTCTTAAAAGTCTTATTTTTTTCAACATTTTTGCAATTAAAATCTTTAATTGTCAATGTAAAATCACGATTTCTGAAAACTACTAAAATGTCCAGTGTTAGTCATTTCCATTAATCTTGTTTTTTTTTTTTTTTGTTTTTTTTTTGCAGTTCTACTCTTCAATGCACAATATCTTTAAAAAAATTAGGAGTTTTTGACCGGTAGACTAAAATATTATTTAATATTGGGCACCTGCAGAATAGCTACTGGCATTTGAAACAGTCAATTTATTTCTGTAGGTATCGCCACTGTAGGACACTGTAGGTTTTTTGTCTTATTTTTCTGTCTGATTTTGTCCTGCTCCCGAATTTACCCCTGATATTTGTCTGTTACTTTCTTTATATGTGATGTATAATTTCCATCCATACTCCAAGCATTGATCAACTTCTTCAATAGAGACGTATTTTCAAAATACAGATGGGAAAAAAACTGTAAAATTGCAATATTTAAGCTAAAGCTATCGACACATAAAATGATAGATCCTCAATAAAAGAATTTCTTTTTTTGGACACATGTAAAATTTGCATCATGGGATATTTTTAGGAGCAAATTAACTGATTTTCGCTTTTGAGGACTGCAGACAAATTGATTCAGTTCCAAATATAATTACGTAAGTGTATTGGTGTAGTTTCTCCTTTTTAACGTACATTTTGAAAAATGAGTGTTTATGCTGATATTCAAGAATGTCATCACTAACTTACCAAAGGCTGTAATAATTAAACATATTAATAAAAATGGAATCTAAAAAGCATTTAGCATATGTAA